AGTTATATTGAGTTATTGACTGCGTTCTTGAAAACGCTTTCAATTTTTAGCTCGTAAACACTACAAGGCATGATTCTTGCCGGATACATTTTTCAGTATCAATATATATTGAATATTTCATACTGGTGATTGTTACAGTACTGCCAAATATTTTTATTCAAATTCAAAGCTGCCAATGGGCATATATAATCTCTACCTATCTTTGAAATATACTTACAGAATATGAAATTAAGAAGGATGGTATACTGATAACAGGATCTGGAAAGTTACGATGTTCAGCTATCTGTCATTTACTGATACAGAAATCATCAGAAGATTGGAAAAGTATTATAAAAAATGCTTTATATAAAATAAACAAAACTAAGTTTGAATCAATCTCAATACCAGCTATTGGAACAGGTAAGTTGATCAGGTAAAATTATAATCAGTATGAAAACCAGCTATTGGAACAGGTAAGTTGATCAGGTAAAATTATAATTAGCATCAATACCAGCTATTGGAACAGGTAAGTTGATCAGGTAAAATTATAATCAGCATCAATACCAGCTATTGGAACAGGTAAGTTGATCAGGTAAAATTATAATTAGTATCAATACCAGCTATTGGAACAGGTAAGTTGATCAGGTAAAGTTATAATCAGCATCAATACCAGCTATTGGAACAGGTAAGTTGATCAGGTAAAGTTATAATCAGTATCAAAACCAGCTATTGGAACAGGTAAGTTGATCAGGTAAAATTATAATTAGCTTCATTACCAGATATTGGAGCAGGTAAGTTGATCAGGTAAAATTATAATTAGTATCAAAACCAGCTATTGGAACAGGTAAGTTGATCAGGTAAAATTATAATTAGTATCAATACCAGCTATTGGAACAGGTAAGTTGATCAGGTAAAATTATAATTCGTATCAAAACCAGCTATTGGAACAGGTAAGTTGATCAGTTAAAGTTATAATCAGTATCAAAACCAGCTATTGGAACAGGTAAGTTGATCAGGTAAAGTTATAATCAGCATCAAAACCAGCTATTGGAACAGGTAAGTTGATCAGGTAAAATTGTAATCAGTATTAAAACCAGCTATTGGAACAGGTAAGTTGATCAGGTAAAGTTATAATCAGCATCAAAACCAGCTATTGGAACAGGTAAGTTGATCAGGTAAAGTTATAATCAGCATCAATACCAGCTATTGGAACAGGTAAGTTGATCAGGTAAAGTTATAATCAGTATCAAAACCAGCTATTGGAACAGGTAAGTTGATCAGGTAAAGTTATAATCAGTATCAAAACCAGCTATTGGAACAGGTAAGTTGATCAGGTAAAGTTATAATCAGCATCAATACCAGCTATTGGAACAGGTAAGTTGATCAGGTAAAGTTATAATCAGTATCAAAACCAGCTATTGGAACAGGTAAGTTGATCAGGTAAAGTTATAATTAGCATCAATACCAGCTATTGGAACAGGTAAGTTGATCAGGTAAAATTATAATTAGTATCAAAACCAGCTATTGGAACAGGTAAGTTAATCAGATGAAGTAAAGTATGTTTTGTATGTTGCAGTAAAATGTATTAAAGCTTTTAGTACAGGTTTATCAGTATTATTACCTTAATAGAAATTTACAGTTTGTTTGTTTGTATCTTTTGTATGTGAAATTGTATTCTATTACTTTCAGGTGGGTTAAAAGTGCCCCCTCAAATATCAGCCGAATTTATAATGAGTGCTCTCAAATCCTATGGTGAGAATGTTAGAAATCCAAACTTAAAAAAGGTTAGGATAGTTATTTATCAGAAAGAGCATGTGCCAGAATTTCTCAAAGTGTTTGATGCTGGTTACAAAACACACCATGCTGGTAAGTAGAGTTTTATTTATTTCATTCATTTATTTGTCTATAATAGCTAAAGTGTCTAAAAAGATTTATTCGAAGGTCAGGTACTGTTAGCGTTCATTTCAACCATTTCACTGCGTGTCATATTACAGAATCTGTCTCATTAT